CTTGAAGAAATTGCCAGAACTCACCCGGACCAGTTCAACTTATGGTACACCCTGGACAGGCCTCCTGTTGGTATGAGCCCCGTTGTCCCCACCCTGGGTCAGCTCCAGCCCTTGACCCGCCTCGGACTGGTCCCTGGGTTGGTTTGTTGGGACTGAGCTTGGGGGCTGAGGACTTGGGCTCTGTCTCCACGTGGGACATGCAGGAATGTGAAGGAGAGAGGATTTGGGATGACCTTCCTGTAAAGGCAGTCAAGGGCAGGTGTCCCATGTCTCAGCAGCACTCCACACACTGACTGAACATCAGGAGGGACACTGAGGCCCCGGGCCACCCTGAACACCTGCCCCACACTTCACTCCACGGAGTACCCCACAGAGCCATCACATACACTGCAGCTTATATGGCCATTGACCCCTTCACCCCTCACCACTCACCTCACCTGGACTGCAGTCCTCACGTGCTGAGCCCAGACAGCACCCAGCCACCACTGTGCACAGCGCACCCCACAAGGCCACCGCGCCCTTCAGGCAGCCTCTCGCACACTGCCCTGAGCTGTGCCTGCCTTGTCATACAGCACACTGCCCAGCAGAGGGCGCCACCTGATTGAGCGGGTCCACAAACCCCACAACACATCACCTGCACAGCTCCAGCTGGCTGCCTTTATTCACACCACGCCTCGGCACATCCCACCTCACTGTCCAGTTCTCCATCCTCACCAGCGCTTACAGCAGGCAAACACCAGCCAGGAGCCTCAGCCTGGCATCTGGGGTGAATACTGAAGAGGGCTGTCAGGGTCCCCCAGGTCCCCTACTTTGCAGCTTTCTGCAGAGAACAGTAGTACAGACTTGCTGCAGAGCAGCCTTGCCGCCCTCTCCCTGGCTTTCGGGAGGGACAACGAGAGGCCTGCGGTCANTATGTGAAGCTCACAACTACACTATGATGGAGGCAGAGCGGGTATATCATCCCCATTTACCCAGAGAGATGAAGTGACTTGCCCAGGGTCACACGTGGAGTGACAGGGGCATGCCTAGGATCCAGACATCCTGAATTTGAGCCCCTTCCCCACCCCGCCCCCATGCACTCTGCCACACTACGCACCCACTTCCTTGAAGCTCAGTCATTTTTAGGGCAGTCCTGGGTCCTGTTTAGGCTGGCTATGCTGGCTTGACATTTGATTCCTTTTCTGCAGGTAACTTTGTCCGTCTCTTGGCCAAAATTGATGATGCTCTGGTTATCAGGGCTTATACACCTGTGTCCAGTGATGATGACCGAGGCTTTGTGGACTTAATTATAAAGGTAAATGATATCCCCATTGCCAGCTGCCTCGCTCTCACGAGCCCAGTAAGGGTGGTGGGTGGAGAAGGGAGGGACACGTGCCCTGGAGGGCGTTCCAGAAGTGTCATTTAACAGTGAAGCTGTTGACCTGGTGGTGTCTTCAGGGGTTACTTAGAGCAACCATGAGAGCAGAGGATGTTCTCCACGTCGTCTCCAGCAGCAAATGCATTTCTGAGTTCTGTGCAGCTATATGTAGCCTCAGGTCTGAGGCTGTGAAAACCATGTTGCCTTATTTTTCAGATCTACTTCAAAAATGTACACCCCGATTATCCAGAAGGAGGGAAGATGACTCAGTACTTGGAAAACATGAAAATTGGGGACACCATCCTTTTTCAAGGGCCATGTGGACGCCTGTTCTATCGTGGACAAGGTACTGGGGGTTCACACTGGGCCTCCAACTGGGAGGAAGAGGATTCCTGCAGTAGTTCCATTGTCCTAGGAAACTCCTCAGAGTTGAGTCACATAGACTGGTCCTTAAAGTGATTATACATTCATTCACACATCTACTTTACAAGGTTGTAAGCTTCCTTAAGGTAGGGAAGTGACCTGGTGTTTGCTCATCACTGTATCTCCAGCACGATGCTTGATACATAAAAGGTACCTACTAGTGCTGAAAACTGGATGGATGGATGGATGGATGGAGTCCACACTCATTCATTTACTCACATATACATCATTTACTCACTCACAGCTGTGGGTGAGTGCTCTGAGGCTCCCTATTCACTTCAGCGGAACCTCCCTCCTTCCTCAGAAGAGAAGGTCCAGTGATTCCTCACAGAGGCCCAGGCTGTTCCTACGTTGTGCATCAGTGCACCATGGTTGGCTGAGGAGGCCATCTGTCTTTCTCCTCTGTTTAAGATGGTGCAGCCACTTCCTTAGCTGGACTTGCCTCCTGGAAGTCCCAAGGAAAGCCAGTCATCTTTTGCAGTCTCTCAGGCAAGAGCTTCAGAAATCAGAAGTATCCTCTGTGTTTTCAGGGAAATTTTCAATCAAGGCATACAAAACGAGTGAGCGTGAAGAAAAACTGGCCTGTGAACTGGGAATGATTGCTGGGGGCACAGGTAAGAGGCTTCTCGGGGCTTCATCCATAGGTGAGCCCTG